GTCGCGCCTCTTAAGACTCTCAGCATACCGCGACTCGAACTGAACGCTATCGTATTGCTGAGTCGATTGACTAAATGGGTTCAGACGATCCTAAGTTCGCCCTCCGCGTCAGTGTTCGGCTGGTCAGATTCGGCGGTCGCGCTAGCATGGCTACGCCAGCACCCCGCGAAGTGGCAAACGTTCGTAGCCAATCGCGTGTCCGAGGTGCAACGTACCCTGCCGGAGGCGCGTTGGAATCATGTGTCTTCTAAAAACAACCCCGCTGACTGCGCCTCACGCGGCCTGTCAGCTGAAGAACTGTCCTCTGACCCCCTGTGGTGGACAGGGCCGAGGTGGCTCGCCCGGTCGTCTACGTCGTGGCCGACCGACGACCACTCTCTTTCTCCTGATCGTAGTACCAATCAACAGGTCTACGACGAAGCTCGCGCTCACGTTGTCCTCCACGTTGAAAGTGAGGACGAGTGGGAACTGATTCGCAAATTCTCAACGTGGACTCGATTAATCCGAGTCACGGCTTACGTACGACGCTTCATTTCTCGAGTAAAGCGCCAGAAATCCGAGCGTACGTCATTCGTATTAACAGTATCTGAGCTTCGCGAAGCCGAAATGTTTTGGTTCCGCTACGCGCAAAAATTAGCATTTGCGCCGGAAATTAGAGCATTAAGCACTAATTCTTCTCTTTCGCGATCCAGCCCTCTAAGGGCTTTGCATCCGTTCGTAGATGAGAACGCCTTACTCCGTCTTGGCGGGCGGTTGCAGAACGCCGCTCTCCGCTACGACGAGCAGCACCCGATAATACTTCCCAGGGATCGGATCGCCGAGCTGCTGATTCAGCGCGCGCACAAAGCCACCGTCGGGGCTCGCACGATTTCTCGGGCGGAATTCGCGACGCTTCTGTGTCAAATAGAAATCCGCTCACGCCCGGACACTTCTTGATAGGGCGTCCGATAATCGCGGTTCCGGAGGAGTCCGTGCTCGAGATCAACCCGGACCGCCTTTCCCGTTGGCAGCTAGTGAGCTCCATGCGGGAGCAATTCTGGCGTGCCTGGTCGCATGATTATTTGTCGTCGCTTTAGACGAGAACCAAGTGGCGAGACGCCGCGCCAAATTTAGAAGTCGGTGATCTCGTCATTGTAAAGAACCCTTTGCTCCCTCCGAGCAAATGGGAACTCGCGAGAATCCCGCAGGTTCATCCCGGGTCCGACGGACTCCGGGTGGTTACGATACGCACTGCGCGTTCTCTACTGAAGCGACCTATAACGCAACTGTACAAGTTGCCTATAAATTGTAAAGCGTCGGCGTCAGAGAGCGACTGATCGCCCTTTCTCCTTCTTGTTCGTCTTCTTTTGTTTTGGTTTGCGCCGATCCTTGTCAGCATCGCGCGCCTGGTTTGTACGTATCACGTATAAAACGTTCGTTATATTACTTTAGGCTTATGTCGCGTCGGCTATCTTATTCGCGGAACAAGCGAAACCGACCGATGGATTGTATTTTGTCTCTACTTCTAGAGCGAGTTAAGACGTGTTGTATATTTAGCGTTAATTACTTTATTGTGTTTTCGTCCCTACCTATAAGGTCATTTAAAATTCTTTATTCGGCTAGCGTCAATCACTGTCGCCCTTTGCGTTCCTTAGCTCACTCTGCGACTAGGAGAGAGTATCTTCGATCTCGCCACGTCTTTTGCTGTATTTCGTATCCGGCGTATACGAG